ATTCTGGTCAAGCAGGAAATGGAAACAACAATTTCGCCGGAAGTCGATGCATAGTGGTCAGGGTTAGATATCAAGGTGTTTATGTCGATCTACAATTTCGTTGTTAAAAGTGTAATAGGAGGGAGTAATGAAAAAAAAACCTGTCATCGCTGGGGTTTAAACTAGATGTCCTTCTGTGGGAAATTCCCACTTAGGCGAGGGTAGTAAGGCGAGTTGTACCGTTAACTCCTTCAAAACGAGGCGCGAAGGCATTATGAACACAAGCTTCGGAAACCCGTATCAATATAGAAAGTGACATCATAGACGGCATGAATGTCAAATCTGTAGCATTGTCTAGGACTCGAGAAAATGAAAGGGTGTTAAACCACGTGAGCGTAAACCGCCCGGTGGAGTGTGATCCCTACAAAAATGAGTGTCGAGGAAGGCTGCTGGCAATAAATTGGTACGGTGACTTCAGTCTGCAATGAAGGCCCATTCCCTCTGAGGATATGTTTATTTATGGTCCCGCAGCCAAGAAGTGTGTGTGTTGGGGAAGGGAGGGGAGCATCCATGTGGTACAAACCCATCGCAGATGAAATGGACAACACCATTCGAAGATATGATGCAAGGTTGGCGACAACGTGTTCGCATGTTCTTATATGAATGGTATTAAGTCAAAAATAATTTTCCTTTCATACATGTGTATATTACGCCGTGACACTAAAACAACAAATACAAATTACTTAGAAGGACAGCCTTTTCATAGAACAGATGCCCAAAAGGATAGTTTCTGGACTGGTCGATACGGAAGCTTTTAATGGGACAACTAACCAAATTCCTGTTCATTTCGAACACCATATAATTGATTACGCCTCTCTTCGTAAGCATGGGAAACAAGTTCCAAACAACATATTACAGTCGGGATTAACCAATGATCAAAGCATACGCAGCTTCTTTAATCATTACAACAGGACGAGGGAATCATGACCAGGTAACCATGACAAGGGAACCATGATGAGGGAACCAGCGTATCCGGTGAGAAATGCGGACAAGTACATAACCTGTTCTGGTTTGATTATATGCCAGACCAGAAAGGGATGGACTACTTATAAAAAGCTAAAACGTGAGTCTACATCATTTCACCCCCAACACAGCAGCGGCGATAAACGTCGTAGTTAATGCAGTTTGATAATATCATAGAAATCGATTTTAATTGACAACTTAAACTCGATTATAGCGCATGATGTATAGCCTGAAGATAGATTCGCTTTTTAAAATATTTTATTTCAATGCAATGTACTCAAGAAACAGAAACCTTAGATTGAATGTTTCTTGTGCACTCTAGAGTGACAGAGATCGCGATACATTCAAGAGGGACATTGAAATACAACACCCACACTTGCTAATGTGCGGACAGAATTGCACTTCTATACAGTTCAAACATATAAGAATAAAACGATGGCTTTCGTGCCATCATGTATCTCGTGAAGTCCTTCGATAGATCATTCTTGTTTATGGTCACATCGTTTCTTAACACCATCGAATCAACAGAATTATTGTTTTGGGAATGACCACTTAGCGCAAATGGGAGATTACTTTGATTAATTCACTTAATGTCGTTTTTTTTAAATGCATCACCCATCATTACATCTAAAAGAGTAACAAATAAAATTAAAAACAAGAAAGGCATGTGATAGTTTACATATATGCGGGCGATACTGATGCAGTTTATCTCTAATGCATTGACAACAACGGAAATAACAGACATGCTAACAATATCAAATAGGTCTGGCTTATTGTCGCACAAACACATAAATTATTTCTCAATGAAATCACTATGGTTACGGTAAAATCTAACCATGATTTTCATACGCCTACATCCAGAAATTCAGAAAATATCAACATGGCAACATAATCATAATTCCATAAAACTAGAGGAAGACATGAACAAAACAAAGATTTACACCGAGACTCTTGACAAAACTACAAGAAGAATAAGACCAGGTGTTTCGGAAGAGTAAGTGTCTTCTGCTTCATCGATGACACCCGCCATGTAAACCTTGGTCAATCCAAGTAAATAATGTCATGTTCTCCAATGAGAGCAAGGTAATCAACAAACGAACCAACAGGCAAACTAAAGTGCATCAAATACGTCCAGCTTCATGTCACACAAAGACAGAGAATATTTATCAAGAGAACAATTTGGCGACCATAAAAATTACCCATGATTTCAATCAACATGCATATTTTGAACCTTGTGTTAACAATGAGTTGACGACTTCTTGCACGGAATTCGTGATAAAGGGAACAGTCCTTTGAATATCGAATCAACTGTGACATGTAAATACCACAGGTTGGAGATACAGGGTTATTGGTATCAAAAAAATAAAAATTCTCAATAGAAAATTGAAATCATCACGTTTATCATACACCTTGATGGAAAGCTGTCCATGTTGGTTTCGGATAGATCGGGATAATCAGCTGGTGCCGAAGATTCGTCGTATCTTTGATTTCCAGTTGTGGCGGATATATAAGATGAAAGCAGTCAAAAAATTCTTGTTATTTAAAGACAAGACGTCATCAATATATCTTAAGGTCGAGGTTATGTTGAGGGAGGAACATAGGCTCAGAGGGTTGCCTTTGAAGCCCACCATCTTTAATACACTACTAATAACGGAATCAATATGGTCGATTTATTAAAAAAAACAAATTTGCCTTCCTTATATCTCCAACTGTTCATCAGTACTACTATAACGTATATGTAAAGAACCGGTTTCATGTATTTTAAGCATTGCTGTATTTTTTTTTTTTTTTTTTTTTAGTTTCATAGGGGTATGAAAAAAAATTGTTTGCAAACTGTACGCTGATTCATTCAAAAGTTTGTAAACAATTTGTTTTTATACCCCTATGAAACTAGATAAAATTACAGCAATACTAGAAGTATTTTTACTCATTTCTTATAGTCCGCTCACAATTTGTTTATGGTTATTTTTTTATCTACGCATCATTCATTAAGAAGGAATCATCTCAGCATATTTTCATCTGTTTGACGCTATGTCCACGAATTTCTGAAAGGCACTGAAGTATTTATATCTTTTTTGAATACGGATCACGAAAGGAAAATTAACCAAATTGCATAATTGTGGCATTTTCTGTCTGGAATTCTGAAGTGATAAAAGAGCAAAAAATAAGGTAATTCAGACGCTAGCAAAACCAAAACTGCATTCAAAGATATGAAAATATAAAAATTGAACCTACCTAATAACCGAAAAAACTTAGTTTCAATTCAGACAAAATTAGTCTGGCCCGACAATTGTCCAGTGGGAAATTCTATGTACACATTTGTTTGTTTCATATCACAATCACCATAAAACATTGATACTAAAGTGTTCTTGTCGTTGTCTTGAAGAAAAGAAGCAAATTTTGTTGTTAGATGTATATAAACGTATCATCTTGAAATGAAATTTAAAGTGACAGAATAAAAATATGAAATATTTACCTCTTTTATGGAAAGAAAGCTGAAGGGCATTATTAACGTGCACAGTAACGTTTATTTATTTATCACCTTAAATATCAGCCTATCAAAATAAATTTACTGCCTGTTTCAATCCTCAAATATCAGTCAAATACATCTTTTAACAGTCACGTGTAGCTATATATAAACGTATGGTATGACTTCCACGTTTCTAACTTTAGAAAAGCAGCAATATTGACCCTGACATATGATATACCTGTTTTAGCGGATTTTTTTATTCTATTCAAATTCGGGCACTTTATTTGTTAAAAACTTTTAGAATTTTGTACTCTGCCAAGGAAATAAATATGTTAGTTGGTAATAGTGTTTACATCTGAATGTTCAATTTAGTCAGGAAAGTAATCAAGTTACCAGTATATATGTGATATATAAGTTATGGACCTAGACTTTGATCAATATGGTATTACATCGACCTCAACAATGATCCATGATTGATTAAAATTCAATTAAAATTTGAAGTGATATTAAGTATTAGGGCTGGTTTCCTTATATTACGTTTCATTTTTAAAAGGTCAAGTTTTTTTAAAATTTTTATTTTATTATATTTTTATTATCTTTTTAAGCGTGATATATGTTTAAATACTTGTAATACTATTTACCAAAAGATAAATACGACACGAAGTTCATTCAATTTTACATTAAATTGATATAAAACATATCTGTCTTCGTTGTCATGGCAAACGACACTCAAGGGTTTAATATCTAAATATTTGAGAATATAAATCGAGAAAATGCATATGATCAGGTCATAGAATGCAGCACGAAGCCTTCCATTGTGTTCTTGTAAGTATGGTCATAAAGATATTTGTGACAAGATATGACTTGTCACAGGCGTGCATTGAGACACATTCCCTTTCAGTTGTTGATTAAGTTCTCAGTAGGAGTATGATTCTTATGATCTTATCCTCGTAAATATTAGAAAAATGGCAGTAACTGTTTCAGCACTCGTTATATTGAATTACTGGAATGCACGATAATACACAGACAACTATACAGCCATATAATAAGTGAAGTATGAAAACACACTAGCTGAACAAATACTGGGATGTGTTTCTCTGAAAGGTTCACTATGATATAATTTGCTTTTCTGTCATGCAGGTATGACCTAGAATTATATTGCACAGTCACTCTATCAAGTAAACCCATCATGATATCGTTAATCTTTAAAGTCACCGCGCGTTTAAATTTCCGAATTTAATTATTAGTTTTGATCATATGACACTAAACAGATTTGCATATTAGATAATGCTGATCTTATATATATATACACAATTATTTATTCCGATAAGCTTGCTTCATGATATACACACTTTATATGTGTATGTGGACGTTAAATGATCGTGATACAGTAACAAAGCTAAATCGCTTTCTGAGATCGATAAGACGAAGTGTGAGGCGTTAAAAGTAAAGCCACGCAGATCCTAGCGAGTTTAGTCAGCTATGGATCGTATTGTCCGCATCTTATCAAGCGCTGTAAGCGGGCGCGATGGAAACCAGGTACAACGCCGCTTCGGCTTATGAACAAAATATACCAGGTCAGGTAATGAACTCCACAACTTTAACAACACCAGTTCCTGTTGACGATTTGCAAAGATTTTACGATTCCTATGAAGACATGGCTTATAACACTTTTGAATACCCCGGTGAATTAGAGAACCTGAGAAAAGTTTGGGTACGTGAGCCTCATTTTATTCCGACAATAACTGTTTACGGATTGACATTCCTTACGGGTGCCATTGGAAATATTTTGGTGATTTTTGCAGTTTTGGGAGACCGGAAGTCCCGCAGTGTGACTTCTACATTTATGGTCAGTTTAGCAGCAGCAGACATACTGTTTTTAGTTGTATGTGTCCCCTATGAGACAGCGCGCTATGTCGTTGACCACTGGACGTTTGGAGATATTCTCTGCAAGTTTTCGGGATTTGTGGAGATGTTGTCAGCGTCCGCTTCCATTCTTAACTTGTCAGCAGTCAGCGTGGAAAGGTAAGATTCTAAAACTGTTTAATCACCAATTACAGCAACAAGAAATTGTCAGCATACAAATGTTATTTTAATCAAAACTCAAAATCAATTAAATTAAAGCAAAATATAAACAAAAGAAAATTTTTCGGAAATTCCTGAAAATGTACAAAGGGGAAAAGACATTAAATAGGTCAAAGAAGGATTTAATGCGGGATATTGTGGCATCAGTTACCTTTGGAAGTCTTCACTGCGAGAATCAAAACACTGCATGGTTTCTTAACAGAAGTAACTTAAATCACGTTTTATTACTTTTCTTCGACATATTGATAGGCCTTTTGAATCGAAGTCCTGTTTTTGATAACAATATTTACGCATGTCCGTTGTAATACAAAAAATCAATTCAGATAAACCTGTCCAAATGCCACGAGTATTCTTGTTTAAACCATCTTTTGGCGGTGTACGGCTCATCAGGAATTTGACAATAGGTAATTATGTTCTTAGTACCCAAATTAAATCTATAAAGCTAGATATTGTCCATTTTAACAGCAATGGTTTGCAGTAATTTGTATTTATATAACAGCGTGTTACTCTACTGGGATTTAATTTGTCCATTTGTCTATGACAAATTTTGTGACTTTGTATAACTGCGTTAATATCATGAACATGTACAGGTATATCCTTAGCGTATTATCAATTATCCACCACATATATTCGACGGGTTGTATGGTAGGAACCAGTATCATTAAGATTATCGATTCCCAATCGTTGTGTTCATATGTTTAGCTTTGTAGATTGACTAGATTGTTTATTTACCTACTGTATTCTGTTACATGCTGTGAAAAAAACTTGGCAACCATCTGCGTAATATATGTTTCCTATCGTATAATAACTACGCCTAGCGTAGGCACGGCTTGAATCTTTCAATTAATTGTATAGAAGATTAAAACCCTCATTAGCATTCACTGTAACACTCTGGATCCGATAAATCTAATCATAGCAATTAGTGTTCGACCAAAGTTCTGCGAAAAAACTCGGATAATTATATCACCTCCCGTAGCGATAAAACAATATATAATTAAATACGATGGTTGAACGGGAAGTGGATGTCATACTACTTAGACAATACCAATTTAGTAATATCAACAAAGAACTGTTGCGCTGATAAATATAAGAATAAATGGAATGAGTGTAACATAATAACTAATGAATATTCGTCTATCGATAATGATGAACTGATTTGTTTATGGCTTGCGTCGACCGTAATATTATTACATTAAACATTAAAATCAGTCTTTTTATCAATAATAAATGTTTGATTAAAAAACAAATCTAAAAACAATCTACGGGTGTGAAAATAGCATCAATTTCAAGTCCAAGACAGACTCTGAGCAGGTTTTTTCTCTTTCGCTCTCTTTTGTTTAACTTGTTAAAGATTCAAAGATTGGTTGCTAACTTTCTATGCAGCTGCTTCAGTTAAGAAGACTGTTCATTAAATTTATTAGAAAAGGATGGTACTATTCTATTTAAATCATATCTCATTTGCAAGAAACATCAAACTAACGATAATGATTGATTCTGTGCGTCACGTACGACGTTTTCTATCGAACGATTTCACAAACAGTAACAATGGAATTCGAACGAGCTATTCCCTCATGTCAATAAGACCTGGAAATCAATCATAATCAAAGCTAGATCAATATGTCATTAACGAAAAATGTTTATCTCGTCTCTTCTTCAACAGCATTTTTTCTTCCTCTAGTGCCTTCATTGATAATACGTTTTAGCCACAGTGATGCGCGTCAGTCTCAGCGAGGACGATAAGTGGTTCTGACACCAAACCTTGGCACTCAAAGACTTAGTGTACAGGAGGCGTTAACCAGTTATCCGTTAGATGTTACTGATTATTAGGACGTGTTCTTAATTTCCGATCTTTTTTTTTTTTTTTTTTAAAGTTTACAGTTCGAGGCCAATTCGGAGATCTCAACACTTTTAGTGCATCCACTATCATCATGATACAGCTATTGCGAGGAAGTAAAACGCAAACAAACAAACAAGCTGTAAGCGATATATTGGACTAATGAATACATTTTGTTTAATGACCTATCACCGCTGAAATGAACATCGCCATGTCTTAACAAAAGACATCACCCTGTAAAAACAGTGTTTTGCCATTTCTCCATGTTTCATATAAATAAAACTGTTGAAAGACATTTAATTCAGAAATGCGTCTAAACCATCGTCTGATATCAAGGTCCAAAGTCCATTACAAATGTTTTCTCGAACATTTAAGTAAATAAGACATTCAACATTACCTTTCCAACTGCCAGACTAAGACTCTGGAATTACACTGTTTACATTAAATGTTGATTGAATCTAACTTTTCTTGAAAGTGTAAGTTCTCGTATCATTTCCCTAAGAACATTTTACTCTGCTTCCTTCTGATTTTGACGTATGAAAGTCGTAGAAATTATGGTACAACGTCATACATACTTATCGGCAGTTACATACAACATCAGAAGTAAACAGACTGCACCACAAAGAGCCCGAAGAAAAATCTGCATTTGATTTCAATATACGTATATACTCGATGAAGACAACTATTCGTTCTCGAAAATTGATCTTAATCTATTTTACTTGTACATGTACTTGTGAGAGGATCTCAATTTAAAAAAGTTTCCTATTGCGTACCAATTTTATTGGAAATAAATGTTTTCATGCGCCAACATTTTTTCATTGTTTTACATGTGAAATCAGAAAATGTTTTATCAAATCAGGTGACTTAAATGAAGTTCATAATTCTCTGTTTTTATTCATTTTCGTAACTGTCATTCTTAATTCGAAATTCACTGAAAAATACGGTTTCCAAAATGTAGGTCCTTCGTTCTTCACGTTATACAATAAATCACAAAATGCAAAATAAGGACATTATTCTGATCAAACAAGATCAATTGTTAATTCCATGCAGTGTAGGCATTAGTTGCCTTTCAATACCGGAAATACGCCTGCTATCTTATCATATGGATGTCGGATGTTTTTAGGGTTTTCAAAGGACAAGACTAATCAATCACGGATGTCATATACTTTTTCCCACCCGGAAATAAATCACCATATCATCGCTATTATCGGATGATCAATTGGTGTTCAAAGGGAACTTCTGAATAAATGTAATACGTGATTGTCATATTTTTGTCAAATGGTATTTTCGAATGTATTGCTATGCATTGAGAATTCATGTCTGGTAATTGATAATCAAAAAATTATTTTATAATGCTACTGAGCGACAACATATAACAGTTATGTATTTACACGGATTCAGCATTTGGTCCAGGCGAACCAATTAACGAATTAGATTGCATCATACTGCTGTTTCGTCCTTCTAGAGCTTGTTAGTAATGGCAAACCTTGAGCCTAAACCAGAGAAAATTTGTATGCCCATACTTCAAAAGTCTAACGTCTTTGAGAATTAAGAGTTATTTACATTTGCTAGTTCAAAAAAAGCTTTTAAAAATACCGCACACACCATTAGCACATAATACGTACAACCACACGAGTATTATCGCGCATTCAGTATCGCAAAATGGAAGAATGTGATGGGATATTTCAGTGCTCGTGAAGATCGTTGTGGCATTTTTGTTGGCATTTCATTGGGAGTTCACCAAGGATTTGACAAGCATAAACAAAAACACGTTTGATGCCCGAATGAATTGAGTCTGTCTGGCTTTCTTAATTTTCACAAATTGGCGAATGATATGCATAAACCTAAGTATACTTCCATTACCAATGGCCTATAGAGCATCTATCACAAAGCATTGATCGTTAATGACGCTGTTAACAGGATAATCACTCCCCCAATTAGTTGGTGTAAAACAGTTGTGGCTGGCAAAAACACAAAAACGCTGACTTATATGTCGATATCGTAGAGGTAGGATAAGTGATTTTCGTTGTAACGATAGAAATGATACGTCATTTACCAAACCTCGTTTAGCAATTTCGTTTCATCAACAGCAAGCATTAATTACATGAATACTGGAAATCGCAAACGGCTCCATTTAACAAGTGATAATTCTCTTCAGTCTTAGCATTATCATGTTCGGATGATTAAGTTTACATATATATTTGTTAGTTAGTTAACATGATAATTGATTCAGGTATGATTCTGATGTTCCGAATCAAAAGACATCAAAAATATCAGAAATAGTAGTATCATAAATCAAAGTCGTACAATATACATATAAACCGAAAACGATCTTAAAGAAGCTGCCAAAAAGATTTGTTGGATTTTTCGAACAGATGTTCAACAGATTAATGTTTCTTTGGGTTGCACAGATCTTGTTTCCTTTTTGCTGAAGTGAATAATGTTTTGATGGATCTGAGGAGTAGATACATTTGATGTTGATGATGGAACTCTTCGGGTCAATAGAATAGTCACTATTAATGGATAAGAAAAATCTCAATCACATCTTTATTTATGAAATCATTGTGCTGTGCTGAATGTCTCAACATAAAACGAAAAACATGAAAGAAGAGAGTTGTATAAATGGTTAATATACCTTGACATAATGACGAGTAGTCCTAAATCTGCTCAAGCCTAAATTGTTACAGAACCTAAGCGTCTGCTATTGAGGTCACCGAGCATTAGTTGGCCTCAATAGTAGAAGCTAAAATCATTCGTAATAGCAAGCTTTATGACAATGAAGTATTTTACCGACAAGCGCAAAACAAGATTTATTATGATTTTCATGTTATCAATAAACCTGAGCAACAATGTAGTTGATTTTCTGTGCAAAATCTTAAAAGGACGCCACCTCTATGCATATGTTATTATTAAGATAATGGCATAGGTGTAGGATTAAGCAGTTAGGGCGTTATCAGTTTGTTGCCTCATTGCTTCCGAAGTTCGCCTGATTGGCAAACTGAGTGATATCTGCTATATTCATTCAGGAAACCATTTACACCACTCAGGGTTCTAAGAGACGTTCTTTGGTCAATATAAACATGTCCGCATCACCTGATAATGGGGA